AACCGCTGACCTGGCGGTGAGTAGCCCAGCTCCTAACTCAGGACACCACCAGCACTCCTCAGGCTCTTAGAATCCATCCTCCATCCACTGGCTGCCGGGGTTCTCACCCGTGTTGGCCCCAGGCCTTGTCTGAAAGAACAGTCCCAAGCAGTGGTTCTTGACCTTCCTAATGCTGTGACCCTTTCATATAGCTCCTCATGTGGTGGTGACCCCCCAACCACAACATTATTTCCGTTGGTACTGCATCACTGTCACTTTTCTACTGTTATCAGGCAACCCCTGTGAAAGGGGCATTGCGACCCGCAGGTTGAGAACCGCTGGTCCAAAGGAGTCATGTGACCCACAGGTTGAGAACCGCTGGTCCAAAGGCTTACATCTTGGGAGCAGTTTAGGGTGACGACTTGGGGCAAAGTGTCCAGGCCTAGCTCCCAAGAGGACAGGGGTGGTGGTGGTGGTGGTGTTAGGTGCCAGTCAGTCCCAGCTCCTGGCGACAAACCCCCTGGTCCTATGCCTTCCTCATGATGATGACCATGTCTGAGCCCAGTGTGGAGGGCAACCTCTTTTCCATTGACCTTCTAACTTCACCAAGCATGATGGGTGACTGGGAGGCGGAGGAGGAGGGATACTACTTTCCTTGGGGGTTATATGTCAGGCCTTTCAGCAAAGTGTTCCTGGGGTGCAATGCTGGTAAAGGGGGCACTCACTCAAAACACTCCCTGCCATCGAGTCAGTGCTGACTCAAAGCGACCCCTGTGGGTTTCAGAGACCGTAATCCTTCCGTGGTTGTTGTTGGTAATTTATCTATCTTGAGCAATTTTAGGAACATTTTGTTTTCTTAGCTCCACAATCTCTTCTCACATTACCTGGTTTTATTAATTTAAAAAAATCATTTTATCGGGGGTTCTTACAGCTCTTCCAATACATTCCATACATCCATTGTATCTAGCACATTTGTATATCTGTTGCCATCATCGTTTCCAAAACCTTTGCTACTTGAGCCCTTGGTAGCAGCTCCTCTCTTTCCCCTCCCTCCTCTTAGACTGTATCACTCTATGGGAGTAGAAAGAAAGCCGTCTTTCTCCCAAGGAGAATGGTTGGTAGTATTGAGCTGCCGGCCTCGTGGTTAGCAGTCGAACGAACGTGCACTCGACCACCAGGGCTCCACTGGGTGTTGCAAATGGCTAATGTGCTGGGCTGCTAATGGCTAGGTTAGAAGTTCAAGGCCATCCAGGCACTCCTTGAAGGAAAAGTCTGGGAATCACCTCCACCTGAGAATCACCCAGCCCTTGAGAACCTATAGAGCGTCATTGGGCTCGGACACACACATGGGGTCACCAGGAGTCAGGGCCGACTCAGTCACTGTCAGCCACTAGCCCCACATGGTACCCAATGCCTTTGAACACAGTGTGGGGTAGGGAGGAAAGAGGATGTTTTTGTTGTGGGGAGAGGGGGGCCATCAGAGGTAATGCTTCCTTCCCAAAGCAGGCAATGTCACCTGCAAGTAGCAACAATGAACAGGTGTCTGTTAGCGATGCTTCCCAAGGCCTTTGAAGACAAACGATACAATTTCCCACTGCAAGGTGTTCACCTAGTGCTTTAGGGGATGTCCCGGGGGCTTTCTGGCTCTTTAATAGTTGCTTGGCACCCCCCCACCCCCGTGGATGGAGGATGAGATGGCGGTGCCTACGTCCACCCCCCAATCCAAAGAGCAAACCCAAAGCCAAAGCCTTGGGTGGATTCTGACCCATAGCAACCCTGCAGGACGTACTAGAATGGCCTCACTGGGTTTCCCAGGCTGCAGATCTTCCACCCCCATCCCCGCATCTCCTTGAAGGTCTGGACATTCTTAAGAACAGCCCATTGGAAGGGGCTGGAGGCAAGGACTGCCGCTAGCAACTGCTGCACCAGAGAACGCAAGAGTGAGAGAAGCCAGGGACCCCCCTCGATAGCAATAAAAAGGACTCCACAGTCTTTTGGCTGAGCTTAGTCTCCTTTCCCCCCAAGAGGCTCTCACTAAGGTGATTGCCTTTCAGCGAAGTGGCTCCAGCTCTGACTGACCATCCTCAGACTCCTCCTCCCCACCGGCCCCTTTTGTTCTGTTCTCATGGAGAACAGGTTTGTGGAGATTCCAGATGAAGGTGGGCTGGGAATTGACTTTCAAAAAACAAAACAAAAACCCCAACCAATGAAAACAGCGGGATCACAGAATTCTGATCTGCGACTGATCGTCGTGGGGGATGGTGCAGGAGTGGGGCCTAACCGGACTTCAGGTGACAGCAAGGGATGGTGACTAGTCAGCTGCCGCCCCCCACACCTGCATTCCTCCCCCTTCCCGCTGCTGTGGAGACCCCACAGCCCAGAGTGGAACTGCTCCTTGGGGTTTCTGACACTGTGAATCTTTAGGGGAGCAGACAGCCTCATCTTTCTTTGGCAGAGGGGCTGGTGGGTTTGAACCACTGGCCTGGTGGTGAGCAGCCAAACACATCACTCACAGCACTGCCAGGGGCCCCTTCTCCTGACCTGCAGTATTTAAAAAACCCTTTGCTCCCCTTCCTCCCATCCCCTTCTACTCTTGACCTGAGAAGACCCTGTTTGGGTGTACACTTGGATTCTCGTCACCTGGTTGCCAGACAACAGGAGCCACCCCACTTGGGGGCCTAGATATGTGAACCTATGGTCAGGCCACATAAAAGCCCAGTAAGTGTCTGATCCCCTTTAGAGCTGGTTAAAGATGAAGGTACCAAATGCTGGTGGCCAGACTGGGCTCCGGACCCAGGATGCCTTAGAAATGAGCAGCCACCACCCCTGAGGCTGAGGAACTCACACTAAGAAACCATAAGGGCTCCTTGGTGGTCAAACCGTCACTGTGCCCTGCTGTCACCCCATAGTGCCACCCACCTGCCTGGAAACTCCAACCCCGGCTTCCGGAGGACCCTGACTGATAGCAGCAGGCACAGTCACTCCATGCCAATCAAAAATGGACCAGAGGCAGCCGAGCGGAGTCCACTTTTTAATATTGTCACCATAATGCAAACAGGCATAAGTAGACGTTGGTTGGATTCCATAATACCAGAGGGCGAGGACAACACCAGAGAAGAGCATGCGGCGGCGGACGCGGGCTGGGCCAGCGTGTCAGGCCTGGGCGGGAGACGCAGGCACAGAGACACAGGCAGAGATGCAGCATCCAGAGAGCTTGGAGGTAGGGGAGACCCAGGTTCCTGACCACATGGTGGAGGGTGTGTGCAGACACAGACGTCGTTTCCCCCCCACACCCCCCAACTCTCCCTGGCTTCCCCCAGCCCCAGGGTGGAGACAGCGGATGCAGTGCCTGAGGGAAAGCCACTCTCAGCCTTCCAGAAAACGCCACTGAGCCAGGAATGGGTCACAAGGCAAGGGCGGGGACAGTGGAGGCAGACTGAGGGGTACAGGGAGGGTGATCAGCTGGGGGACCAGCAGTGACGGCTGCCCTCCGAAGTCCAAGGGCACCGGGCCTCAGGGGAGCTGGATAACACCAGGAGACGTTTTTTGGTTGTTACAACTGGGACAAGGGGCATTATTGGCAACCAGTCGGTCAAGGCGGGAAGGCCACAATGCACAGGATGTGGCGAGTGGAAGTGATCATCCTGCTGAGGGCCAGGGCGCTCGGACTAGGAGCCTCTTAAGAGTTTAGGAGCCAGTTTGTGGTTGGGGCCACAGGGAAGCAGCAGCCAGGTCAGATTTGTTCCTGCGAGGCCACCTCACTGATGAGAGGCTCTCTTCTGGACCAGCGTGACGCGATTTGCTTGTCCACACCGATTCTGATACTCAGGGCCCAAGCAAATTCAAATTCAAATGCCAACGAAGGCGCGCTGTTGACTCCTGATCACAGAGCAAGCGCCTGTGCAGGTGGCTCTCACAGCACCAAGAGGACACAGATTCACAGCAGACCCCGCCTTTCAGGTCTGGAACCCACCAGTCTCAGGGGGCGGAAACGCAACGTGTCTTCTCGGATCCCTTTGCCACAAGGCAGGACCCAAGGGCAGGGTGGGTGTGAGAGACAAGAGTGGCCCATGCCTGCTGAGTTGGAGGGGGGTGAGATGGCGCGCCCCCACCCACCCACCCACCCACGCCCACTCCAACCGAGCTCCTGCACTTGACTCCAGTGCTGGGGTCTTTGGGAAGGCTGGTCAAGTGCAGGAGCAGGGAGCCTGCATCAGTACTTCGTCCTCCTGTTCACCCCTGGGCACTAACTTGCCGATCCAGACGGAGGGCTTGCGAGGGTATGGTTGGGCAGAGAGCCATGCTGGGGTCCCGGGGACGGTGGAGGCCATACGGCACCCGTCGGTGTGGCCCGAATAAAAACAATCTACAGGTCCAGGGGTTTCCCAATGACCATAGGATAAGGCCATGTGGGGGGCCTGCTGCTGCTGCAGGTTAAAGGGGCCCGGCATGGGACCTCCAGGTGTCACCTTGGCGAGGAGGTGGTGCCCAGGCTGCTTGGTCAAACCCTAGTCTAGATATGCTGCGACCTTCCATAAAGGTTGGTGGCTCTTCTGCAATCAGTTGCAGGCTGTTAAAATGGAGGGCTTCCCCGAAGTTGTTTTTTTGTCTCCAGCTGCATGCTGTCCTGAGGTGCTGCCTTTGGCTAGGCTGTGACGTGTGGTACCCCTGTGTGTGCCGAAGCAGAACTGCGTGCCACAAGGTTTTCAATAGCCGGTTTCTCAGAAGGGGATCACCAGGCCTTTCTTCCGAGGGGCCTCCAGGCAGACTGGAACTGCCAGCGCCTGGGTTGGCGGCTAGGTGTGCCCATCGCCTCTGCGCCCCCAGGCGGGGCATGCCTCCTCTTCACTTGCCTGCCTGTCTGACTTAGGGACGTCCAGCCCCTTAGACAGAGGTTCTCAACCTGTGGGTCACGACCCCTTTGGGGATCAAACAGCCCTTTCACAGGGGTCGCCCGATTCATAACAGTAGCAAAGTTACAGTGATTAAGTAGCAACGAAAATAATGTTATGGTTGGGGGGTCACCACCACATGAGGAACTATATGAAAGGGTCATGGAATTAGGAAGGTTGGGAACCACTGCTCTAGAAATCATATGAGCCAGTGCCTTGAAGTAAATCTTTCTCTGTCTCTCAATGTCCACCCCTCGTTGGTTCTGTCTCTCCAGAGGACCCCAAAGCCTGACCTCTCTGGGGACCAGAAGCAGGTGACTGTCAACAGCACGTGTGGTTTTTAGGCCAGTGTCCACTCATGAGGGGTCCCTTTTCTGTCCCGGCACTGGCATGACTTGACCGTTGTCATATGCACCTGCTGCCCCAGGAGAAGCTGGCTTTGGCATCCACGCTTCAAGTGCCGTTTCCCCCTGACTCTTTGCACCTCATGAGCCTCCTTTCTCAGCAAGTGGCAGCCTCCTTAATTTCCCATCTGTTCTTATCCTCCAATTCCTGTTAAATCAAGATCTGGATTATGTTTGTCCTTCCTCCACCCATGCCTCGGCCACTGCAATGAGCTGCAAGGGCTCAGTTGGCCATCCAGCCAGCCGCTCTACACTGCTTCTGGAACATTCTTTCCCAAGTGTCACTCCGACAGCCTCGATTTGCCCTTGTGAAAATCTGAGGAGTCTTCAGCACAACACAAACTGTGAAGTTGAAGGTCCTCCACATGTCACTCCCACCCCACAAATGGGCTGGGTGAGGACTGGGGCTTCAGGTGCCACTTGGTGTAAGAAGCCTTCCCAACAGGAAAGGGTACGTGAGTGTTTCTTCCCCAGAAACAAAGGCAGCTCCCTCTCCCGGCAGAGGGCCGAACCCTCCAGGAGCTGTATCCCTCGTGTTTTCGCTCCTCCTGGTCCACTGCTGTATCACAGGCTGCTTCATTCAGTGCAGACAGGGAGAGACGTGGCCTGTCAGCTGGGTAACCTCCAATCCCAACACCCAAAACACAAAACCGAACTGCCACGGAGTCTGCTGCAGCACGGAGCGGCCCTCTAGGACCCGACGGAAACGCCTCTCTCCGAGTTTCCAAACCTTTACATCTCTTAGGAGACCACAGAGCCTCCTCTTTCTCCTTCAGAGAAGCTGGTGGGTTCAAACCGCTGACCTTGTAGCACGCTAAGTCACCAGGGCTCCCTGGCGACCTCCAAATGCCCAGCAAACCATCTACTCTCTGCTACGTGGTCTTTTGCCCACCATGGTTAGCAGTTCGAATCCACTTGGGGGGGGGAGGAGGCCTGGTGATCTGTTTCCGATAAACCAGCCATTGGAAACTCTGCCCTGGCACACGCAGGGTCACCGTGGGTCAGACCGACTTGGCTGCTGTTTTATCGTTGGTTGGGACTGCATGACCGTCCACCACAAGAGGGCGGCCGTCACCCAGCCTAGATCCCTGGATGGGACCTCTGATGATTCCTGAGTGGTGGCTTTCTCAGGTCCGGGATTCTGGCATAAAAGGGAGCAACCAGGCGGCGACGGCAAGCCAATCAGATGTGCAGCAGCTGGTGCTGCGGGCTGAGATGTGTTTACTTCAAAAAAACCCCAAAACAAAAATCCTTGGGGAGAAAGGTGCATCTTGGTTCTATAACCCCCTTGGGGACTTTGTGGTAAGACAAGATGATGCGCCCATCTGCCTGCCTGCCTGCTGCCAGGCAAGCTGGGGCACATACACAACACAGGCCTGGTGTACCAAGTGCTAAGCGGACTCCATTTGGTGATGCCCACAGAGAAAGCTTGATTTGGGGAGGGTGGCATGGGTCAGTTCACTCCTTGAAGGAGGTGGACATGAGGGAGGGGGGTGGTTTCTGCCGCTGGGGAGCTAGTAGTGACCTCTTAGGAGGCACTGTGACAGATCCGAAGGCTTGGCCACAAACGCTCGTGGGAGAAAAGCAGTGGGGGCCAGAAGTTGTGTTTGTGGAAGGCCTGGTTCCCCCGGGCTTGCACACAGGGACGGAAGACCTGCTGAGTGTCTGGTTCGTGTGTTCACAGCAGGATGAGCGGGAGAGGAGAGGCCAGGAGGCAGGGAGCATTAGAACGGGCACCCGGTCAAACTGCAGACACTAGTGGGGGCTGCTGGGAGAAGGGAGGGAGGCAAGGCCTGGGCTGCCCTGGGGCCCTTTGGCTTATTGGCGAGTGAGTGAGTCCCTTCAAAGAGGACCAGGGTGGCGGGTGCTGTCACCGCGACCCCCTATGACCAAGTCCGGGAGCTCACCCAGCCTCTCTCCTGCAGAGCTGTGTTGAAGGGCTGCGTCTTGCACAGCACAGGGGGGATGCTCCCCAAAGAGGAAAGATGGAATTCAAGGGAAGCAGGGTGTCCCCCCGTCACCTCCCACCGCCCCCAGCTGATGGAAGGCGCCTCGTGCACAGGAAGGATGGCAAAACAAAGCCAGGCAGGCGGACACTGAAGCCACCGTCGGTTGCAGGCAGCACCCCAGGCTGGAGCTCACCAGGATGGGATTTCTCTCGCTCTCTCTGGGAGCTTGAGACACTGCACGTTAGCTCTCAGTGTGGCCCGGGGACTGTCACTGTGCAAGTCCCCTCAGCGCTTTCCTCCCAGGGAGAAGCCCCACCTGGCTGTCCATTCTCGACCAGCGTGTTTGTTAAGAGTCCTCAGTTTGTGGAGAAAGACTCAGGGGTCCACTTTCCGAAGGCCAGAAGCCTGGGCCGGGTCCTTGACACCTTGGTCGGATTTCTCTGGAATCAGCCACAGAACCCCTCCCCAACCTGCTTCCCTCAGGCTGGCCTCCCCCTCCTATCCCCGAGGGCAGAGGAAGGAGCCCTGTTTCCAGGCGGGGGTGGCGGTGAGACACCATAGAGACAGCCCTTCTCCATTTGGTCTCTAGTGTGCGGAACAACGGGTCGGGCCACCAGTGTTCTTGACCTCCGTGAACATCACGAGGCAGGGGCACTGAGGAAGAGGGGGCATGTCCAAAGTCAGTGGCAAGGGTGGGGAAGACTTCCGTCTCCAGTGGGCTCCCTTGGACATGACGGCGACCAGGTGGGAGAGCCTGGGGGTGTGTGGTGGGGCCCACGGCTGTGCCGGGGTGAGGAGAGCAGGGCTGGGCAGGTGAGCCGGCCAAAGCTCATAACCAAACGTACTGTCAAACTCACGACTATGTGATCCTGCAGGGCAGAGTGGAACTGCCCCTTTGGGGTCCTGAGGCCGTGGATCCTGACAGGAGTAGCCGGTGGGTTTGAACTGCCGACCTCTCAGCAACCCAGCATGGAACCCGTTCTGCCGACGGATAGTTATTTCCCCCCCAGTGGGGTGTGCTCGCTGGTGTCCACCCACAGCCAAACATCTGCCATCCTGTGGTTCCCCTGTCCCCGGGAGCCTGGCTTGCCACCACCACTCCCCTTTGCTGGCCCCTTACGACTCGGACACTGGGGTGGGGTGGTGGTGGGGCACTGCACAGATGCACAAAGACTTGACCGGCCACGGCAGGCTCCTGAGCAACACACCTGCACAGAGACCCCTGCCTGGCACACGCACACGCACACGCACGACCGACACATCTTGGCACGAAAGGAGATGCTGAGGGGCGGGCTCAGAAACCTCGGGGGGCCTCAGGTTGAGGACCCAAACACGAGCCACTCTCACGCACCCGTGACTGCCCTTGTCAGGAAGGGCAGGACAGGGGACGGGGACAGAGTGTCCTAGGAGCCATGGGGGGTGAAAAGCCATTGCACTGCAGTGAGAGGATTCCAGGAGAGAGACAGAGAGGTCCCAGGAGCCCAGAAGGAGGGGACGGGATGCCAGGCGCAGCAAGGTCACGTGGAGCCCCAGAGAAAAGATCCAGCAGTGTCCACGCTTACGGAACCTCAGCCTCCCCGGCCACAGCACCAGGAGGCCCACCTGCATTCGTCCGGCAAGAAGGGTCCAGTCAGGAGCTGAAAACCCTGTCAGAGAGAGGCAGGGAGGGGGTTCAGTAGGGGGGGAGGGAGGCTGTTCCTGCTCCTTAAAGAGGCCCAGTCAGCTCGGGGGTCCAGGGGCTTCACCCCTCTCATTCCCTCATTGAGCTCCCAGGCTCTTGGCAGGAGCTGGTACATAGTTAGGGCTCATCTTAATGAATGAATGAATGAATGAATGCACAAACACTTATCAACACAACTGGCAAGGATCTGAGGACGGGAAAAAGCCCTCTGTGACGACAGAGGGAGCTGCCGTCTTCAAGGTCATGATCGGGGCTCAGAGGGCACAGAGGTATCTTCCGGGCTGCCATGCGGGCTCAAGCTCCCTAGATGGGTCCAAGGGACCCGCACATGGTGGCAGGCTGGTGTTGAGTTATACTGCTACCTGTAAGGATGGCAGTGCCAACCCCTCGGCCAGTCTGTGGGAGAGCGCTCTGCTCCCGAAAGAGCCACGGCTTGGGGACCCACAAGGGCAGTTCTGCCCTGTCATTGAGGGTGGCTGGCTGAACCTGACAGCAGTGACCTTGGTCTCTTGACCTTGGCTGCCCAGAGGGTTGGCTGTTCAAGCCCAGCCAGTGGTCTGTGAGAGGAAACCCCGGGGGCAGCTGTCCCGTGACAGCTTGGGGGTCACTGTGCGAGTCCTTTGGGTTTCGTTCCTGCGGTCCTGGGGGAGGGTGCCGAGTGAAAGGCACAAGGAGGGTACTCCGAGTGACTAGACAGCTGAAGCCCAGTCTAGTTGCGTGGAGGGCACGGGGCTGTGCTGCGGAGGCAGGCGCTCTGCGGGGCAGGGCGGGAGGGCGTTTGGCAGGAAGCTCAGGGAGTCCGGGTTCGGATTGGGACAGGGAGGCTCAGGCTGTTTGCAGACATTTCTAGGGGAGGGGTGTCCTTGTCAAGTCCTTGGCAAGTCACACAAGAACGTGTGTCCGTGGAAAGGACTCCGGGCAGGGGCAGCACGGGGGTGGCGAGGTGAAGGCCAGAAGCAGTGGTCAGGTGAGAGGACAACTTCCCCAGAGACTGAACCAGCCTCCTGATAAGACCCCGGTGATGTCCTGGTCATGCGCTGGGCTGCCTACTGTAAGGTTGGCAGTGCCAGCCCCGCAGGCGGTCTGAAGGAGAGCTCGAACCCGCAGGGGCAGTTTTTCCCTGCCCAGTGTGCATCGACTCCCTGGCAGTGAGTGGGGTAAAAGCCAGCCTTCACTCGGGGGCCGTCAGGAGGAGGCTGCCACAGGCCCTGAAGGGCTCGCTGGAACCGCCCATGGTGCTTGCGGCTGGGTTTCTGATGCAGCCGGCCTGGGGGGCTGCTGGTGGTCCACCCCCCAGCACCCCCACCCCTCGGGCCCGTGCTCGCCCGCCCCTTGCCTGTAGGGTGCAACCGGCTTACTCATCCGCATCTTTTTTGCTCTCTTCTATGAAGGCAATGGACTCAGACCTAAGGCGGTTGGTCACTTCGTAGGTCCGCAGGGTAACCCCAAAAATATCCTCGTGGTACCGGTTGTCGTCCTAGGGGTGCAGAAACAGCCCAAGAACAGGTCTCAGGAGCCTGGCCAAAGCGGGGCAAGTTCTAGACATGGCCAGGCCTGGAATGGCATGGCCTTGTGCAGAGGTTACGCCTAGGGACACCGGGCTGCCCTCCGTGTCCCCTCCCTGGACACCTCTGGTCTCCAGATGGGCCAGCAGCCCCCGCAGCACCCTCTCCTCCCTCCTGGCACTCCTGCACAGACAGCTCTGGGGAGTGATGGGGCAGGGGGAGCCCGGACAGCCACAGAGACCTGCAGAAGATGGACCAAGTCCAGTGTCCACTGCCCGCCCAGGCTGCCCTCCCCAAGCGCACAACCACGGCCTGGGCACATGAGCTTCGCAGAAGATGGGCATCTTTGCCTAGAAACCGGCCGAGAGAAACGAGGTGCCTCGCGAAACCACGGCATTAAGGACATTTAGCGTGTGGTATCTGGGAGTTCCGGAGGCACTGGGTACGGCTTCGAGGAATTGAAGGCTAGGCAGAGTGCAGTGTGTGTAGTTCATTAAACATGCAGGGAAGGCATCCAAGTCAAGGTACAGGATACCAGCCGTTCAAGCAGTAGTCTGCTATGGCTAGGAAAATCCCCCGGGTGTTCCTTTTTTTGTGTGTGTGAGAATGAGACAGTGAGTGAGTGAGAGAGTGAGAGAGTGAGGCAGTGAGTGAGTGAG